TTCAGCGATCCCGTTTCGCTCGAGTTCCCCTGGATCTTCGCCAAAAATCCTTTATTTCTTTCGATCTCGTAATCGAGCCTCGAATACCATCCTTCCAAGAATCGTACAATTCTAAAAAGAAGCAAATTGATGAAACGACGTGAATTGTATATCGAGTGGTTCAAATAATCTTGAAGACACAAATGCAAATAAATAATATTTTTTTAAATTTCTAGATGAGAAAAATAATATTATATTCTCTATTCTTTAAAAAAAACTACAATGACCATCACTAATATTGACAGTCGAAGTCTTAATGGAGGGATCGTTTGGAACCGGTGCACTCGCTGTTGCAGCACGTTGCATTCGTGCATGCACAATGAGAATCGTAACTCAGTAACGCGTTCATAGATTCTCGAACAGTGTTAAGTCGATCGTTGGAACGTCGATCGTGCCGCGTGGCCAGTCATGCGCGGAGCCGATCGAGACGCGGAATGAACGCGCGAGACGGGAACGCGCTATTCTCGTGAACGTCGGCGGCTATTTCTAGCCGGTGGATCTAGATAAGTCGTTACGCGGAACGGCTCGTTAGCGATTCACTCTCCATTACGGCGGGCTGAGCGCGCGCGGTCAGAGGCGGAAAAACGATTTTCACGACGTGACGAGAACGGCGTGACCGATCATTAAAAGCGCGCTACCAACAGCAGGTGGTACCAAGTAGTGCCAGGACACGGGATCCAGATCTCGCGCGGCGCCTAGTCATCCTCGATGGGAAAGTCACGGAGGAAGGAAACGCGGACGAGCACGCGGATTTGTCGGAACGAGGATGACGCGCTATCAGGGTCATACCGATGCCGTACGAGTCACGCGCATCGAAACAGCAGCGGCGGGAAAAAATCGTGATGCGTTCGACGCGTCGGTGAACGATTCGTTGACTCGTTTCTCGGATAATGAAAAACAGGTAGCCGGGTTCTTTGCATTTTTCGGGGCTTTCAAATGAAAATGACGAAGTAGTCTGCGGTTTGAATTAGAATGAAATTTCAAAAATTTGGTATGCCTGAAACTTCGTCATTGCTGCATTACTAAAATCAGAGGAATGAACTGTGAAAATTATTTCAACCTCGATGCGATCTCCCCCCTCTAATCGCGTTAACTCGCGACGTAATCGGTTTTTCTAGCGCAAAAGCGTTTGTTTGCAAGCTCGCTTAGCACCTCGAGCAAAGGTCGCGGGACGATTCGCGGAGCGGATTAAAAACCGATCGATCCGTTCGAAAATTACCTTCCCAGAAGGTGGTGCACGACTGTTATTTACGTTCTAACCGTTTCGATGCGCGTACGTAACGTGCGCTCGATTGCGCGCCGTTCGATTCCCGTCACGTGCGAGAAACTATCGGCGTGCTCGTGTTTTTTTCCTCTTCTTGGTCCGCTCGAGGAAATTGTTCCCGCGGCAAGCGCCGTGCCAATCGCATTCCCGACGCCGACTCGAGGAAACGTTGCCCGTGTTCGGCGCTCGAACCGATCGCGAAATTGATCGACCGCTGTAAATCGTTGACCGCCGTGTCGAGAGCTTTCGACGATACTCAACGTGCGAGCCGTTGGTTACACCCTAAAATGGGAAAATTCGTTTCGGATGGAACCTTTATAGGTCGAGGAGTAATTAACACCGATATGGATGCAAATGAATAGTTTGATCGATGAGGAATGGTGGGACGAAGGTTGAGCTGAGCGGGTAATGAGGATGCTCCTTCTAAGGTGATGTTCCAGTCATGTAAATTGTCTTTGTAATGTTCACTTGTTTATTGGAATATACAGTAGCGAATTAAAATTATTATTAATACTAAATATTTTTACAATCAGCTATAACAATTGAGATGATAAAAGTAAAATTGCATATTTGTTTTTGCATAGATCTGTGTGTGCATAGGTTAAATTTGTAATTCTTTAAAGAAATTTAATGAATGACACGCTATAAATAATTTTCAGTTTCATAATTAATGGGAAATAAAATGAAATCACCAAAACAGAGTTCTTAGTAAATTCTGATGCATTCAAATTGACCGTGTGTATTAATGTAAAATGAATTGGTTCACATTTGTTTCTCACTTTACGAACGTCATTGCGATCCTTGAACAATTTCCATTGATAGAGTATGCAAACTTCTTAGGTCAATCTTCAAACCTCCGACTCTTTCATATTGTTCATGCTATTTAACAACAACGTTTCTCGCAACGTTAAATAACGAGGCATAAATTCTAGGATCACTCCGGTATATTTTCCAATAACCGCGCAAGCAATTATTCTATGTTCCCTAGGCTCATTCGTCATCGCTATATTCACAAATATTCAATCTCTACATAAACCAGAGACGATTGTGAAATTGATATTCATCGAAATTCATCATTCCGCGTACGAACTTCCAGCAGAAGTTTGACCATCGTTGCTATACCCACCAGCTATCAACCCACATTCGTATCAAGTTTAAAACACCTCTCATTAATCTCGTTCGCCTACGCGAGATCGTACTCCTGAAAACAATCGTCGAATCGTCATTTATTATAATAAAACTCGGCTGGAATTGTACCGAAAGCGAATGTTAAACGCTTTCTGACACCATTCCGATGTAACCTACGTATCGTCGAGGTGCTGTTGCATTTTTCATCAGCAATTTGTCAAACTTTCCCGCTACGACGGTTGCCGTTCACGATCACGGACAACGGTTTCCCCGCTGGCGTTTCTATATGGCGTTACAAATCGGTCCGGGATTCCGGGCGTGCCGGCTGATTTGCGCTAATCTCGGCTTGTCCATGACGGATTTGTCGCGGTTTCCCGTAAATGGCGACCGTTTCAGAGGTAAGGAATGCTCCGTAACCGAGTCGATTCGTACACCGACCGGTACGTGATTCGCGATCGTACGAGGACCGGCGAGCAAAAACCGGGAAACGCATCGAACACGCGCTCGCACGCATCTTGCGTAATCCTGCGAATCCTGTTGTCCCCCTTGTTTTCTGTCTACGGTCAAGATACGCGCAGCTGACCGCGCAATAAATTGTCAATGATCCCGTTTTCCAACCCTTTCGATTCACCTTCGATCGTATCATTCGATAGGATTCTTTCGTTGGATTTAGATCTGAAAGACACATTTATGTAACGAAATTTCTTCGTGGAAATGCAAGTGAAACTGTGAAAGGATTGAAAGTATCGGGGAATGTTTTAAATGCGAGAGTTTTTGTCTGAAAGTGGATACGCGGTGTTGGTAATAAAGTTAACTTTCAGTACAGTTATACTGTGAGGTAGATCAGAAATGATTGAAAAACAATTGAATTTCATGAAATTTTATTAAAATACAAAGTTCGTAGATTTCTTAGAAATTTTTGCTTCGAGACCGCGTTTACGGATACGCGAGGATGGACAATGAGAGTTTCGTAGGAGGACGCGATCTATGCCGGTTCTCGTGTGCCGGATGGCACCGTAACCTCTTTCACACAGTCGCGGTGACAGCCAGGGATCATCTGGCGTACAGGAGCCATTTCCAACGCGTCCAACCGCGCGATCTAAGATCGTCGCCGCGAGATTTCTGCTCGGTTACCGCTGGTCTGCTCCCATCTCGCGATCATTACCAGCTTGTCAACTGTACGACGTTGTTCCTTGATATCAACGATTAATCAACGCCGCGGGGATCCCTTCTTAACATTTCGAATCTTCGATTCCGCGTTTCTCTAAGAGCGTGTACTGGAATTATAATGAATATAAATTTCATCTATTAATTTCTGCATTTCCATGATTCCATACGATATTCTTTCGTACGTGATCGTCCACTCTCAAGGAAATCACGGTGTGCAGTTAAGTCGGATAATCTCGAAGCATTATCGAGGCTGAAATATGAGCGACGAATCGATAACGTGGACACTATCGTGATTCCTTGGTCTCGTTTCGAATGTTTACCGCTATACGAGCTTTTGGGTTTTCGGACCGTTAGTGGGCCGCCCACGTGGATGCGTCAGGTGAAGCCCAGAATCCGAGCGTTTCCGGTTCACCATGAATTATGGCCGCTGACAATCACGAGTCACTGCGTTGGGACCATCCGGGGAACGTGGAAATTTAAATGTCATCAGATTGAATTGTGGTGCATGTCAAATGGTCAATTTGAAAGCTAAAAGTCTAAGCTCGAAGTTTAGAAAAATGTAACTGATCGAAAGATACTTGAAGGATATCAGTGAACGAAGCATAGAGTTTGAGACGGAGAGAGGAGCAAATGGTAAATTAGTTCGCGATGCGTTTGACGTCAGCCGACAGGCGTTTAACAGTACAAGTTTCGCCAGCTTATTCACCCTCTCGAGAGGATCTGCCTCTATTATTCAACCTTCTAGGCGGATGCATGCTAATTCTCGTGACGCGCGTAACATTAAAGGCTGACGTTTAATCCGCTGGAAATCTGCGCGTGGCCTACGCAGACACGGTTGAATACACTCTCGACCCTTTATATGGCACGAACGACCCTTCCATTCCGGACGTATCTGGCGGAATCGTCGACGAAAAGAACGATGCTTTCCGTACCGTAGTTCGTTTCCACGAGCTTCTACGCCCTGTATGGAAGTTACCGGGATGACTTGCCTTTCGCGGAAACCGTGGCAAAAATTCGTCGCAATAACTCGCCTGCTTTCCCCGGGGCAAATTTATTATCAGTCAGCCAGGCCACTTTTGCCGAGGATTCCTCAGGCGGTACGCTGTTTTCTTGACCGTTTTAGTTGCCAACTGGATACTGTGCAACACCGTGTTCCATTGTATCGATCGCCAAGTGTGGAACGAACGAACAAATGAATTTATGGGTGCAAGCGTAATTCGTTTTGGAATTAATTCATCGTTTAAAAATATAGCAATACGATATTCCTAACAAGTCAATATTTTACTATTTGCTGTATTTCAATAAAAATGCGTTGACTATGATATATTCCCCTGTAAATATCATCTGAAACGTTTCTGAATCACTCGACTCACCTTGCTGTTCCATCTTCTGTTTGCAGTCATTCTTCGGGCGGACGTACAACAACCTGGGCAGCATATCGGAATGCAAGAACGGAGGGGTGTGCGTGATCAACAAGAAGAACCGCACCGCCTGCAAGGCGTGTCGACTGCGAAAGTGTCTGATGGTCGGGATGTCGAAGTCAGGATCTCGTTACGGGCGTCGTTCGAACTGGTTCAAGATCCACTGCCTCCTTCAAGAACAGACCAATGGAAATCAGAACGTAGCTCCAGGTGCAGGCTCGCCATTCGGGCCGGGCTTCCTCCCGGGTTTCCTGCCCCAGCCTCAAGGCCAGCAAGGTAGCGGAGTGTACAAAGATGGAAAGGACCGTGCTTCACCTAGTCAGGAGGACTTAGCCCTTCAGTCGCATTTGTTACACGTAGCGATGCTGAAGCAGGAACGCGAGAGAGGGAACAAATCACCCCACCCGGACGACGTGGCTCTTCAGAATCAATTACGCCTGTTGGCCTGGCAGAAAGAGCGCGAGAGGGTCGCCGGTAACCCTCAGCAACCACCTGGAACACCTCCCAGAGACAGTACACCTCCGCCTTTTTACAAACAGCAACCGCAGCACCCCGGTTCACCAATGTTCCCCATGAACTTCGCCCAGAAGGAAGGCGTCTGCGTGCCGTCCAGTCCGTCGGATGTCTTCAGACCGTTCCTGCCGACTTATAAGAGGACGGCGGACACGCCGAGCGACAGCGGCGCGTCCTCGGTGGATGGTGGCGACGGCCAGGACACGGAATCCAGGAGTAATTCGGCGTTGAGCTATTTCAAGACCAGCGCCGCATCACCGACCTTGTCGGAACGCGATTTCCCACCCAGGAAGATCAACGCTACGGTTACGTTGACGACAGGCTATCATCCTCATCAGAGTCTAGGACTAGTGTATCCACCGCCTGGTCTGGTGACACCAGCAGCGTCCCAGCATTCGCCCAGAGGTGGCGATCGTTTCCTGGTCAGTCCCAGTCCAGGCGTTCCGGCTGTGGAACAGGACGAACCTATCGACCTTAGCGTGAGGTCGAGCAGAAGCTCCCCACGACCTAGCCAATCGTCGGAAGAGGATAACCGATCGAACGATAACGTATGCGACCGCGAGAGCCCGGCGAAAGAGGAGGCCACGACGAAGAGCAAACCTCTGGACCTGACGTTGGGAGTGAAGAGGCCTGCAGAGTTGCCCATGTCGCTGTGAAGCTTCTGACCAACTGGCAGGCCCACGACGGGCTGGTCCCGAATTTCTTTCGTGCCGCACCCATGGGTGCGAGTTGAATCCTCGTTGGAGGAGAGGTTGGACCAAGGGAGAATCGAGACGGGATGGAAACATGGTAGGATGCGTATCGGTTCTCCGATTGCGAGGTGGAAGTTTGGAATGGAAAGAGGTTTGAAGATACCGGAGAATCGAGGAGATCGTTGTGGTGCGAGGGGAAGAGGAATCGTTGCGCAACGACGATCGAGCCCGCCACAAAAATGTGTTCAAATCTGTACATAGGTGTCACCGAGCCGATCCGGGAGGCGAGAGATTAATTTATTGAGGCCTGATGGGCCGTTCGAATGCTTAGTTCCCTGTGCAGACACGTGAAGTTTCTCGTACGCGTATTATGCATAGAAATATCGTGCCCCTGTATAAAGAAACCGGAGAATCGCGGATATACCGGCCAGTAGTGGAGTGCCTTAATATAATATATTTATATGAAATATTCTATATGTATATGTATGTATACCAGCAACGGACCGCTTAGGATCCTTATTATCATCTTTCTCGTGCGTACGATCTGTCGAGCGTCGCGTATTCTTTGCTTTTAGTACAGGATCGAGCGCGTAGAAGCGCGAACCGGACGATTGTAAACGCGCCTTAAGCATCCGTGAACCCGTCGCATCGAGAGAGGCCAGTTAAACAGACAAATGACGTCGCGTCGATGTTGTAAAATCATGGTGCATCTTGTAAATAAGCAGAGGTAGAGGGAGAAACTCGTCTGCGAATCAGAGTAACGCTTCTGTACAACCGCCTGATGTACGCGCCTCTCGGCCAGCGTAAAGGACGAACGTTTTATTCATGTTTTTCTTCTTCCGACTTTTTTTCATTTTGTACATAATAGCATATAAACGGTGAACACGAGCGGCCAGTACCTAAACGTAACGCGAAATTAAATATTTTTGTTTAATCTACACGTCTGTCTGTGTGTCACTTACTTCCCTTTATCATTTCTTCCAGGTATAACGAAAGTGGTGCGGATAAGATTGATGACCCTTCCAAAATTACCTCAATTTACAAATTTCCACTCCTGTCCCTGCAACGAGCAATAAATCATGTCACGAAGACATCAAATAAATAAATGGAATATTTATAAGACGCTTTACTCTTCAGCCTTGAGAAGCACTCATCTCGAATCAATAATAATTAATATTCCTCCCACATCGGACTCATAATGAATTTTCCCAGAACAGCGTCTGTTCCATTTCACAAAACAGAACATTTAAAGACGTTCCTCGAAATCATCACGAATCCAAACCGCAGGAACCATTGAAAGTGTCGAGCCAACAGTTTCCGAAAAGTCAGACATCAGATTCGCGGTCAACCTTGAGGATCGTTGAACACTTTTCGATTGCAACAGCCGGGACACAGTTGAGCAGGTACATATAACGCTGCTTGCAGCCGCTATTAATCAATTGCAGCAGGAAGCGCGAGAGCATTGCAAAATCGTCGAGTTACGGATACCTGCCCACGCGGCTGACCTTGCCAGGTCGAACGTTCCTTCCACGTCCGGATCGCGCGAGATCCAGCTGTCCTCCTCGTCCCTCGTCCACGCTTCGCTCGGCACCACGTGACGCGTCTTCTCGGGCCTCGATTATCGATGCTAATCGAGCGTGGCTCAGCGAGACGTTCGCGGCGCGATAATCGGTTTACGTAACACGCGAAAGCCGACGGGATCTTTCAATTCTGGTGCAAATCATTTGCAATTTTTTATGATACCATTCTATATTGATCTTTCGTAATTTCGAAAAATTTTAGAATCAGGCGGAATCTAAATTCTAAATTTTAATCAGAATATCATTCGTCAGATGCGAAATGCAAAGCTTGCTGCAAGGATCGCGATGTTGAATCCATCTTCTCATTCGGTCTATATAGCAGAACAAAGTTGATCCTAGACAGACATTTGTATCGTGTCTCACGTCAGCAGAGACCGCATGCAACCGTGTATAGCACTGCTATCCTGGATAACAAACGGTCGAGACTCGAGGCAGTGCGTCAGTGTTTGCAGGGACTGGTTGCAGCAGCAATAAGCAATCGCTTAGACCCGTCATGACTCTATGCATGAGAGTTGGCCAACTCTGGCACACGCAGGACGATTTTGCCCGACCGGTGCGCGACTCCTCGGCCTCTCGTCGAGTGAAATATCGGCGAACCTTCGGTTACCGGTCAGCTTTCGAAAGATCGACTTCGCTGATCTTGATTCGCTCTGCGGGAGAAACTGGAGCGATGATTCGAAGAACTTCTGCTGAGATTGGAAATAAAGGAACGATCATGATGACAGAGGTAAGATGAATTAATTTAATGTACGCATAGGATTGAAAGAAAGATAACTGATACGATTATTTGTTTGAGGTTGAACATATTAAATTTCAATTGAGAGGCTTTAATGAGATCGATTAGTCGAAGGAAACATTGAATAAAATTACTGGAAGATTAATTCTTTGATAGCCAGTGTTACGTGACTTTTCATATTGAAATGTGTTATAATAATGATTTAATCGCGCAATGAATTTATTTCTTTCAATCGTCTACAATTGCAATTTCATGTCCTTTTTTTTTTGCTTCTTGCACGTTGCACTCGATCTCCATACACGTCTGCGACAAAAAAAGATCGGGATTAACATGAACGTACGGTGAAAAACAGAATATAAATTTCCAAACCTGTAATTAATTAATGCTTTACTTGATGACTTGTATACAAGTTACATGCGATACATTCATAGTACCTAATGGAATAGGAGATAATTAATTAATTTTGATCTTCTATATAATTATAAATTACTAAAGCGAAACCTTGTTGCAATATTTTTTTAAATATGAAGCTGTTTCAAGCAAAAAATTCTTGATTCCAAGATAAATACGGTACAATTCGTATACGTTGCTCGAATAAAAATTACCTAACTCCGCTCCGCATCGATTAAGCAGCACGAGTGTCGATGTTGATAGATTCATTTGCACAAAGCAAAAAACGGATCGACCATGGACGGGTGCATTGCTGAAATTCTCGGGACGGTAGAACGGCAACCGGAAATCCTTTAAGATGCACCAGAGGCAACCCGGTGAGCGAGATCGCGAGCGATACCTTTCAAGACCTCTTTTCTCTTTCGCGAGGATCTGGTCTCCGAAAGGAGAGACACGCGTATAAAATACGAGAAACGGTCAGCATAGTGCACGGTGCTGGATGTCAACAGCTCTCCAGGGACCTAGAAGTCCATTGGACACGAGAAGCCATTGATCGACTACTTACTCACGATCTACGCGGCTCGAATAAGAAGTCGCAGAGCTCGTGTATACACAGCCTCGTATCTCATGTCCGTTGATTTTTTTTTTTTTCTTTCTTTTATCCACCTTCCCCTCCCCTCTCCGTTCCCTTTCCTCGTTTCCCAGTTAAGCGAATTAACGAGCGGACAGGCGTAGAGGAAAAGGACAACCGTAATGAGCATTAATTGATTACGTTGAACGAGCGGACGCGCAACCGCTGCGCTGGTCGCGAACACGATAGCCGTGAGTCGTGAGTAATGAGCCGCATCTTGGCGTGATTATTAATTCATAAAGACATCGTGTCGCGTGTGTGGCTTGATAGACCCGTCGTGGTTATGAAATGGTCGATCGGTTCTCTCGAAGGTCTGAGACGTCGCTGCTTCCCTTGGGAAAAGACAGTGATTGAAAGTAAAATCTGTACGGTGTACCCAGAAGGATTTAGAAATATAATAGGGTTGAAATTCTAAATTCCAAGCTCTGAATTCGTTTTATAAAAGCAACTTGTAAAAGCATCAATGAAGGATCAAGCTTTCGCCAGTCGAGATACCGTGGATCTTAAACGCTTTTTCACGGTTGATTGATCGACTATCGAACGCGACCTTCTTTCTAGATGAAAGATAGACGGAAAACGGCTACCGTCGATGGGTCCGGATCGATCGAGGCGCTAGATCGTCGAAGATGGAAGCCCGTGTGCCACGTTACAGAATCACGAGATTTCCGTGAGAGCCGACGTGATCGAAAAGCCAATATCCGTTTCGCTCGATCCCGGCCGCAGGGAGAAACGAGCCTGATCCGCCTAATGAACCGATCGCTGTATCGATTAGCGCCGCTTAAGACCGATCGATTGCGTGTCTTGTCAAATTTGTCAACGGGTGCGAACCGGCCGCAGACATAACGATCCGACTGGCCAGTTCGCTGTTGCGAAACACCGACCACGATCGAGGAGAGAGGAGGAATCCGAAAAGAGAGCGAGAGGGACGAACAGACGAAGCAGCTCGCAAACCAGAGACACGTGATTGCATATGTATCTGAACCAGATAAAAAATTGGTAATGTAAATTGCATTATTTCAAGACGTTTAAAAGGATGTAGGATTCTAAATCATCTAACTCGTTTCTTTAAATCAGGTTCATCAAATGGTGCACCTGGCGCAGCATCGACTAGGATCTCGTGATTGGTCCCAATGAACCAACGAACCCGACCCTTAGAAGCTGTAATCTGGCCTCAAAATTTGTACAATTTTGTACGAACTACCGGTGGATGCGAGCTACGGCTGCTAATAAGACGTTTCATTTTTCCAAGTTACGCCACCTGAGCAGCGTCTGGCCTGATCCTCGTGTTACACCACGTGCTTCCACGACCGCAACGCGTATGGTGCATCTTCCTCCGGCGCGGAAAGGTTCGGTGCACGTCAGCGTGCGCGTCCATGCTGCTCGATCGGCAATTTACGATCATCGAGGGACGCTGAAGGCAGAGTCGAGGCGAGGTTGTTAAACGCGAGCCGCGTTTCACCCTTGTTTCATCCATGGCGCACCCTTTCCACTTTCCATGCGTTACTTGATAATGTTATTCACCTATCGTGTGCACATTTGTATATAAAATAAAACTGTGGCTATACACGCGGTCCAATTACCTGAAATTGAGTTGTAACCGGGTCGAATTGTCGATAATTAGCGATTAGCTCTCTTCGTCCAACGTCGTTCGTTCATCTGAGTAAATCTCGTGTATGAAGTTATTCCATAAAGTGGTCTTCACTTTGGAGAACAAGAAAGAGAAGAAATAGAATAAAAGGAGAAGGTAAAGAGAGAAGAGAGAGCCCAGAGCACTGGCTTATCCCTCAACAATACAAATTGCTGATTATGCGCCCGGCTTTTACGTGCCTTCTAATTGGGCCGCCTTACCTCTTGGGAAAGATCGACGGATCGCACGATCGGCCCTCGTTAACCCCTAACGCTCTCCATGCACGCTACAGCTTCCCTCTTTCTCCCTCCCTGGCTGCGCCCAACGTTTCTCCTCTTCGAATGATCCTCAGCCTCGACCGGACGCGTATATGGACATGCAGGAAGTCCTACCACGCGTCGGACCAGTTTCGAGTGTCGTCCCTTTTGACTATCGAAATCTGGATCGAAAAGGGACGAGCGAGACTTCTCGTCGATCCCTATTTATGGGACGTTACCACTTACGGCTGTCGATGTAGCTTTTCTAACCCTACAAATTATGGCTTTCAATCCTCCAGTACTTGAATAATATAATTTCAAGTTTTATGCGATGTCAAAATCGCGTAAAAATTGGTAGGTGTTAATTAGATGATAAGGTGTATCTTTGTAAAAAATAAAAAGATCCCAAAAAGGCAAACATTATGTGAATCTGCGATTGGAAATGAAAGACTAATTGAGTTTCCTTATGAATTCGTTAATGACTCGGTCTCGCGCACGCACGCACGCCCGCCATCTCGAAGACGTCTTCATCGCGCTTCATCTTCGCCGGCTGGTAGCGGCGCGTCCGGTTACTCTTCGATCGAAGGGGCGCAAGGAAGCGTCCGCGTCCCGTCCGCGTGCACGCGGAGAAACTTGATCCAACGACGTGGAAGGCAATTATTAATGAAGATCCGAAGGACCCGACGCTCTGCCGGAACATTCTTCATCCACCTTCTCTTCTCTTCCTGATCCGGCTCGTCTCGGTCCGTAGAATTGAACGCGGCTGCGTGCTATCTCTCGTGGAAATCGAACACGCCGGTTTATCACGCGAGGAACGTTAACCAGCGTCGCGGCATCGGCGATTTTCCAGATTCCAGGCGACGAATAACGCGTATCCCCTGGACGCCGAGATGCTGCGCCGCGATTGCGATCGTTATCGCGGACGGTGGCGCTGATTAAACGGGACGTTTTCATCCCGACGCTGACAGCCCGATGTTTTTCATACGGCTCGACGAATTCGTCGCTCGTTAACCTCTGTTACCGAAGCTTTACCCGCTCGTGGATTTTCCAATGGATCGATGGACAGGTTCCCCGAGAAGTTTCTTCGAAACGGAATCCTGTATGTTCAGGTATTAGTCAACTGTCCAGGATGCAAAGAAGAGCTTCGGATACGTTTAAAGATGATTTAAAACGATAGCTGTTCGTTTTGTATATTCCCTCGATCCTGATCATTGATTCTAATGTTCGTTTAATTGTGTTAACTGTCGACTGTCAGCTACGTGAATTGATGAACTGACGTTAACCTTTCTTTTCGAGGAGCACTTCTATTGTATCTGTAATGGACATCTATTCCCTGGAGAATTGCAGGTAAATTGATGCACGGTAAAATTAGTGTTACCTGCAATTTCGTTATAATGTTGAAAATTTGTATAAGTATTTTTGTAAAATGAGCTTAACTGCATTCATTTTTCGAGGATTAACTAATTTTGCTAATGTGCACAATTTATCGGTATTGGTAAAACAATGATTTTAAATTATTATAATTTATAAATTGTCCAAACTTTGCATTTCGCCAATGACAGAAATTTTATTGAGACACCCTATATATGAGCGTTTAATCTACCAAATTAAGTTTCCAATTTGCCACTTTACATCATTGCTACATCTCATCCTCAACACACCCGCACCATCATTATTTCCCATACGAGACAACAACGCAACACGATTCTCCGGTCGGGGGTCTCGAACGCGGTTCCTATCCGTCGCTAGGCGCAAAGCAATTTCCCTGAAACCCCATTAACCCTTCGGAGATGAACGACGGAGAGGCACGGGATGGTGGTACGATGGTTTTAAAAGAGGGATAAGGATGGACAGGCGCGAGGGAGCGAGCAGAGGGGACGCAGAAGAGATCGTACTTGTCGCTTGCCAGTTCCATGGTGTGTTGCATCGTACAAAGATGCGGCGAGGCTTCCTTGAAGAAAGAAGGAGAGGAGAATGGAGGAGAGGAAGAGCGAGAAGAAGAGGTCCTCGCGAGGCAAGGGGTCACAGACGCTTATGTAAACCATATAGAAGCACACAGTATCTAGCAGCGTGCCGTTTATCTAATAATATTATGGTGCAACGCCAGTGCATCCCATAAGAGGCGCTCGAGATGCACTGACCGCGATCACAGAATGGACATGCCTTTGTTTTCGAGAGGTCATAATTTAGGGGGTCCCAGACACCCCCAGATGAGATTAGGTCTCCATGCAGAGTGCGCAGGCGATATAATAATCATGCCTGTTTTTCCAATCCCTCTTTTATCGCACCTCAGACTGACATGTGGTAAAATCCAATTTTTATTCTTTTTGATTCTATTTTTGTTTTCTTAGAAATTAGTCAAAAACTGCCCAAGAGTGAACAATTATTATCATAATTGTTTGACAAACTTGTATTCACTTTATGCACTTTGGTAAATACATCATTTTAAAAAAGCAACTGAGTTATTATTTAATTTACCCAATTTCATTTCTCAGTTATTTATTTAATGCCTGTAATTTCTTTTCTCAGGTATTTATTTAATTGACTAAATTCTTCTATCATTTTAGTTATTCAATGTACTCCAATTCTCTTGTTCACTTCATTTCTCAGTTATTTATATATAAAACAACTGTTTGATCTTTAATAAATTACAAATATAATATACATGAAAATCAAACTTAAATCAAAACGCAGTAATTACTTCCCAATCTGAGAAATTTGACCTAGAACGAGGTGCGACCTCCTCAGTCTTATATTGACCACCGAGGGTAGCGGATCAACCTATCAAACATACATATACTTCTAATTTATCGTCAGAGTTTATTTAATTAATTTATTTATTTTTTCCGCTTATTAATAAGCTCATCAAAGAGGAATAAAATATATAATTTTATCTCTTTTCTGGGCTTCGGCTGACCACCCCTTTTATTTATTATTTCATCCTTCCTTATGAAGCCCGCCTCACTTTTTCCGGCTATTTATTATTTTATCCTTCCTTATGGACTAAAGTTCAACCCTTTTCAGTTATTAATTATTTTATCCTCCTTTATGGGTTAAACCCACGCTTCCTAATTATTTATTATATTTCATTTCTCTTTATATGCCTCACGAGGACCACCCTTCCCAGTTATTGTTTATCCTATTCCTACTCTTTATGTACTAAGGTCTCCCTTTGCAGTTCTTTAGTTTTTTCATTCTTTTCATGGACATCGCAGGGACTACCCCCTGAATGTTTCTAATCACGTATCCTCGTACCCTTTGTATTCCTGCATTACTTACATCCCAGCCCTTCTTATGTCCTGGCATTCCTTGTGTTCCTGCATTCCTTACATCCCGACATCCCTTATATTTCTGTGTCCTTACATCTCTTTGCATTCCTCACATCCCTGCCTCCCTTGTACCGCTGTAAGCTCCTTTGGAGTAAAAAATCATTACAAATTTAGTTCCTTTTTCTACCGTCAGAGGGCACTGATTCGAGGTCGAAATTTTAGTTCACATTTTTCCCGCTAGAGGGCCAAAATTTCGGCATGATATAGTTCCTTTTTTCGCCACCAGAGGGCGCTGAATCGAGGTCGAAATTTTAGTTCGCATTTTTGTCGCTAGAGGGCCAAAATTTCGGCATGATATAGTTCCTTTTCTCGCCACCAGAGGGCGCTGATCCGAGGTCGAAATTTTAGTTCACATTTTTCCCGCTAGAGGGCCAAACTTTTGGCGTGATATAGTTCCTTTTTTCGCCACCAGATGGCGTTGATTCGAGGTCGACATTTTAGTTCGAATTTTTGCCGCTAGATGGCGCTGCTACGAACGCCGAAAGCGTCATTTCAAGGATCTAAGTGATAAAAGGATCTAAGGTACCGTAGAGTGTAAGGAATAGAGTGATTGGTGGGATGCAGGGCTATGAGGGAAGCAGGGTTGTAAGAGGAACAGACATTTAAGGGATGGGGAGATGTAAAGGATTGAAGAGTGTATTGGACATAAAGGTGTAAAAGACAAAGGGATGTAAGGCATACGGGGATGTGAGGGATGCAGAGATATTAGGGATGTTGGGGTATGAAGAAGGAAGGGATTTAACGGATGCTGAGATGTAAAGAATGCAGAGGTGTAAGGCTGACATAGGTGTAAAGGATGCAAGGATATAAAGAAAGCAAGGATGTAATGGATACAGTGATGTAAAGAATACTGGAATGTAAATAATGCAGGAATATAAGGGGTGCAGAGCTGTAAAGGAATCAGGGATGTAAAGGATGCTCACGGAGTAATAAATTCAACACGTTCGTCCTCCTAATGGGTTTATTCAATAAGCTAAGAAAATACAGCAACTTAAATGATCGCTGAAAATAAAATATAGATATATGTATGTTTACCAGGTAGATCTGCACCCCTCGGCGGTCGCTATAAGACTGATGCTGCTTCACTTTGCTCTAGGTCGAACGGATGATAACGGTGTCGCAGCAAGCTACCTGTACTCTAATCAGTGGGTGTAAATAGTTTTTTTTTTTTTTTTTTTTTTTTAACGTGGGGAAATCTTGCATAAGACCCCCCACCGCCCCTGGGGGAGGGCGGCGGGGGAGTGTCAGATTCCTACTGACTAAAACCCCACGGCGACCAACACTGGGGCTAAAAGAGGGCTCTGGTACCTTATACATATTTTACTCCAGAACCCTCCACGCCTGGCACACAGGTGCCCATCTCGGTGGAAGTCCAAATTGAGACCTCCCCTTGCTACTTACCCTGTGGCCGATGCCGGGGGTCGCACCCGGTACCGGCTTCTGCTGGGGCAACGTGCAAAGGCGTCTGGAGCCCCCACTCCCGACGCCAGTGGCCCTGACACCCTCACCGGTTTTGGTGGTGAAGCCGTCATATCTAGTGTTGATAGAAGGGCTGAATCAACTTCCCCTTGCTGCTCCTCTTGTTGCTGTAATATGTCATGGCTGAGCTCGAGACACTGACTGACAATGAGTAATGGAGTACCTATAGTCTTTGATATCGAAGCAATTCAAAACCCCTTAAAAACAAATGTGGGAAATGTTTTGTGGATCTGTAATCACTGTTGCCATGCATACGAGTATATAGTAGATACACGTAGGGCCTGGCTTACACGCCTCTACAGGGTAATATTTTGGTGTATGCCTCACCGGAGAGTGCAAGGTGTACACCGTTTCAGTACCGTGGGGGTGTGCGAGCGCTTGTACAGATGCTATCAACAGATATCCGACGAGATAGAGGGATATACCCTGGCGATGTTATCGTCGCGGAACTAATATGGTTTTCGCGGCGACGCCTTGGAGTTAATGGAGGAGGTGGGCCTCGAGAGAGGACGGTGAATACGCGCTCGTTTTACGAACGTGTCCGAGAATTTCGCACACGCCACACCTTAGGGCCTGTTCAGATCGTACGGAACATCTGTTCTGATCATATTTGTAATTAAACAAGTTCTATGCTGAATTAACTTATAAGAGTCTTAATTATCTTAGGACCTAAGAATTATTTAAGGAAGAAATACTTAAAAATGCATATTACAAAGGTCAAAGGGTTCGCTTTTATGTTCAGGAGCCGCCCACCAGCGGCTCGAAACACAAAGAGGAAGACGAACGAGTTCCTCTTGTAAAGTGGAACGACGGCACGCGTGATTGCGGCCGATCAACGTGTCTACTTTAAGGGTTAATGCCGGGACGCCAGAAAAATAACGGAATTAATGCGTCGCGTGTGCTACCGGTTGCGTGCCCCATCATCATTCCCGGGGAACCACTGGAAAAAAGGCGACGCTGCTGGTGGAGTAGAACCACGTAAACACGCGTGCAAAGAAATTCGACGCGGCTCGGAAAGGATCGGGAAGTCTGTTAGTGGAATCAGTATTACCGGACTGCTGCTGGCTATAATCGGATGTGGTATGGAATCAACGCGATTACAGGCTGCCGTGGATCGTGTGGTCCACAGCTGTTCTTCGGATACTCTAATTTAGCTACAATGTTTAAAAAAGAACTAGTGTTCGTTTCGCTACTTTTTCTCCAGATTGAAATAGGCAATTGGAATGATTTTAATCTCTTCTCCTTAATTACAAGGACCTTAATTTTCCTAATATTTTTTTATCAAAGACACATAGAATATTCTAATGGTACTAGAGTCCTAGTTTAGTAATTTATTTATTTATTTAAATCATGAAGAATGAACCCTTTTGAACTGTGTGAATGTGTGATACACAATGAATTATGCGAAGTAATGTTTATTTAATGTTATAGAGTTATAAATAAATTGCAAAATACTTAGAGAAGAACATAATTCAAGAGGTGAAAGATTGAAGCGTTGATCCTCAACAGGGCATGCGAAATATTGTCGACGGATACGGCGCGTCGATCCGTCATAAACGCAACTCAATTGCACGGGGTAAAAATGGCCCCGGAGGCCGTAAAGATCGATGATCCACCGGCGAAGTCGTCGAGCTTCGTCTTCACGCGATGATCCACGAGGCGAGGCGGGATCGAAGGAGATTAACGCGCGCGAAAGGTGACGAGAAGCGTAGAAAGAAAGAGAAGCAACCGCTTCGAAAGATAGAGAGAGAGAACACGTGATTCTAGCTACGGCAAACTTAATTACAAACTAGCGTCGTTGCTGGCCCCTAGCGACCTGTCGGTTAATTTATTAGCGAGATCGTGCTCGAAATCGAGACGAACAGACGTCAAACGACGTCGCGACGGCAAATTGTTTCGTGCGATAGTCCATCGCCATTGTGAGCCGTTCAATTAGCCGACGAGACGGTTTCATCGAATTAATTAGCCGAGCGCTGAGGTTGCTGTACGTGGAATAGGTCTTTTATCTAGCTGGGTAATTGTTGAAGATTGGAAATTGATAATTTGTATAGAAGGCTCTTAAAGATCTCGAAATCGGATTAATATAAAAAATGATAGTTCATTAAAAATCGGTCAAAATTTTCTAAGTATTCAAACAAGAGTGATGTCGCGTGAAACTCGCGTGCCACGCGACGACGTGTTAATTCGACGCGTTTACTCTGCCAACGAGGGTTCCATTTATCGAGGGTCGGATTTACGAGCGCGATTCGAGGATCAACGTCGCGCGATGGATCGAGGAGACGTTTGCGTGCTAAAGATCGAGAGGAGTCTCGTCCATCAACGAAATGACGTGGAATTAGCTGGCGTTATATCTAGTATTGAGGGGAGGATTGGATCACTCACCCCTTGCTGCTCTTCTTCTGTCCGTGTTGGGGGTGGCAGTCCTGGGATGTGACATTTTTAAGGGTTGCAGCGGCTACAGATCCAACAAGACTGGAGATGCCTTTGTTGCTGAGATGTGACAGCGCTAAGCTTCAAACACTGACTGTGCGAAGGGTCGTTGATATCGAAGCAGTTTATTATTACCGTCAACGTGCGTTACATTGTTTCAGTTTTTATACTAGGATAAAACAGATAGCTCTATTTTAATGTAATTGTGAATTTTCAATTAACAAATTCAAAACCCCTTGAAAACAAAGGCATGTCCAGTCTTGTTGGATCTGCAGTCACTAGTGAAAGGCTGCCAACGAGGACGCGGTACGATATTATTTCCTTCTTTTTCCCCTATTTCGATCTCCTCCGTCTTCCTTTTTTTTCTATCTCCTTCGTCGAATCATTTTCCAACGAGCGATCGTTACTGGTACTCGAGGACGGTGAACGTTTCGATGGTAATTCGCGGCTGAAAGCCACGGACGGACGTCTATTCAGCGATCGGTTCGAGAACGATGATGATTGTGCTCGTGTTACCCTAGCACCTCGATCGACTTGACTTTTCCAATAATTGCGCCAACGGCGACGATGATTGCAACGTCGTCGGATGACTATGTTTTTATGCCTTGTCTTACACCTCGAAGCAACGGTAAGCTGCTCCTTGAAACATGCTCTTCCAGTCTATTATATTCCTCTGACTCGTATAATGCATACATTCCTTGGAATTTAACATGTTATCATTATAGAGAAGTTACTTTCCGTTTGAGTGTCATGAATTTTCTCATGATTACGTGCTATTACAGACCTCGTTCGCGGATTAGAAATCATACTCTTAAATAATATTAAAAGTATAATTTCCGTTGAAAAATTTCTGAAAATTGTACAGCACGCGAGTTGAATCTAAACAGGTGAGTTTCACCCCCCCAAAAAAGGGAAGATGCTTTCACTCTTTCCAGTCGATACGTCCATCGATTATTCCATATCCGATACAATTTCCAAGTGAAAGAAGCGACCCGCGATCAATGAATCACTCGAATAAAGCGATGAAACGAATCTGAAAGAGAAGTAAGAGGAAAACGCGTCTTTTCCGTAACGTATCGATCGGATCAGAATGATACAAAGACCCAAGGGATCTCGAATGGTAAAGTCCTGTTGGCGGTCGTAACAAACGTGACGTTCCCCGCCACGGCCACAGTCGAGGTTCAAGCGGAGAGGAAGCTGAATGAGGATGGAGGAGAATCTAAGGAGAGCGAGATCTAAACCCATGAATATTTAGGGCCCCCGTGCTCCTGCAATGGAGTATTTATTCGCGAATGCCGGTTTTATATCACTCAAGAGGAACGGAGCGGGAGGAGAGCGAGTCCACCAGCGCTGCCGGCTTCTCAAAGAAGCTTTCCCGATGGGGGATCCATGAGCTCGATCCACGAGATCGAGTTTCACCGTCCGCGGGTACCGATCGGCTTGAAATATCGCCGGGATCGAGGCCGACGATCGACGATACAGGGCAATCGACGCGTTGCTAATCGCGGATTACCTGTTATCGCGGTAGCTTCTGTCTGATGGGGCCTCGCCATTGCTCCGAGCCTCGTGCAACCAAGTCTGCTGTGCTCCTGGAAGGAACAGATTATTCATTCAATTTGGCGCTGTTCAATATCAATTTATAACATCTCTTTGATTTATTTATTTTCCTTTTTTGTAAAGTATTGACAATGCGTAGAAGATTAACAAAATGTACTTCAAAAGTCTTTTAAAATAAAAAGAAAAATATCAGATTTAATACTGCAGGATTATTTTCATACCCATCTTCAAACTTCCATAAATAAAATTAAGATGTTCCATTCGACCAAATTTTATCTCTAAATAGTTAATCAGCCTCTCCTATTTTATACACCCATCGTTCACACCCAACGACTTCATTCACCGATCCCATAAAAATTTCCATAATTTTCTAATCATTCAACCAAAGCATCCATGCAACGTCATTCTTTTTAACGTTACAATAGCTGGCTAAGGTTATCGTTAGAAACACTCCTGCGACCTCGAGCGAAGATGGTCGCTCGGCTGACCTTTCGAATCGACCCGGTTTCCGCGATTTCTCGAGCCACGTTTTCTAGACGACATCGGCTCGATGCGTTTCGAACCGATGTGTATCCGTGAAGAGAAGGATCGCTCGCACTGCGACGATTGTCAGGGAATTTCTCCTATTCTGGGGAGCGACTACGGGGCATCCGGTCGCGGACGCTTCCAGCGCACAGTCGCCGCGAGTTCTCTAAATAAGGGTCTGCCGGCGGTGTTGTAAGGAAATAATCGATGAACCGGATAATTTATTCTGGCCGGTGCACTCGGTCGCATTTAAATGGAAAACGAAGGGACGTTGGTCTCGCGATTTCGATCAGGCTAAAATCGAATCGATCGAGATGATGTCGGCGAAACGATCGATCGATCGATACGTCTCGTTCGAAAGGGGAAAACGGTGAAACGAGCTGGTTACGGTTGTCCACGGTAATATGGAGCTAATCAACTCCGTACCCGGCTCTCTGATATTTTACTCGGTTTACAGTCATTTTTCTTGCCCCTCCCCCTTACCCGCCTTCTTCGTTTTCTACATCGCACGGAGACATATTAACGATCTGGGAAAGCTCGAGTAACCGCTGTCTCGTCGGTTCCTTCGGTTCCACGGTGATTCTGTGAACGGTAGAATTACGCTGTCGTAAATGCGCGATTAACTTTTTACGCTTAATTGGCTCTTCGCGGTCCCCTGATCTTTTCTTTTTTTACATTCTTCTTTTTTAATTCCTTGTTTTTATGCAGATTGCTCCTCACTAATGGACGTAGTTGCTCCTCGAAACAAGAAGGCACACGAAGTGTCCCCCTTTTTCTTCGACGGAATTTTGTATCACGCGCGAACACGGGGATATTTTGTAATTAGAATGAAACATGCGGCAATGTTTTTATGAATATTTTGTTACAAAATATTTTGTCACCCTACTTACGTGAATTTACGATACCTTTAACACTAGATTGCCGGACAAATAGATCCGTCAAAATAGGTATAGCACATATGAATAGTGAAGAGGGGGACGAATTTGTATTTGCAGACATTTCATAATTCTATTAAAAACAAACATATATTTTTAAAAAAATCGTAAATGAGTCAAATTGACTCGTTCCGGCAATCTAGTGTCAATAACCAACTGCATAGAATATTTTCTGTTCATTCGACGTTTTTATAATATAAATTTGTGTTTTTTAAGAATTTAACAGAGAGAAAGTAAAGATATCTTCTCAACTTTGTAGTCATCGAGCTTACCCATACCATAAATTCAAGATACCTGCTCTCGGTTGCTCTTATCATACGATCTATCGGCAATTTTTGATTAACTTGTTATTCCGTGCAGAGTCTGGCGATAGCTCGTCATCGGGAGACATCGGTCAGATCTCTCTCGTTAAAAATTCCATCGACGGCGGGAGGAGCGTGAAACTTTCCCGAATCGTCCCGGCAATTTATCGAGTCGCGGTTCTCTGATCGGCGTGGAACAGGATGGATCGAGGGGAGGACGAGTTATCGGAGGCGCTCGATCGATAAATTACAGTCAACCATATGAAAGGCAGCAAGGAACGGCGATCCGTGTACCCGATCCTACGCGTGTCCGCCACCGTCGCGCGGTAATAACTTCGCGGACGTTTATCCGCGACAGCAGTGTATTCGTATCGCGCAAATTATCAGTGATAAATTGAGTCACGATCGCGATGGTAGGGTAGGAGAGGGAGAAAGCGGAAGAAAAGGGAACTTAGCGACCCGTGCTCGAGCCTCTTTCGCGTCGAAACTGCCGAATCTGTCGCCGCAAAAAGGGACCGCCACCTTCTGAAAGGTTCCCTTAATAACACCTTACCGTCGTAGCCCGGCCAATATATTAATTACCGCTCAATATATTAATTATCGAGCCTGTAATATCGCAGGTGCGCGCCGTAAGATCTTGCGAAGCGTTTGCGCGACGTTGAACAGCGATCCTCCGCACCTTTCGATCGTCTTTCAGTCATTTTTTATTTCAGAACTTTTTAGTCTCCCCTTTTTCTTTGCCTTCTCGCTTCCGTATCCTTTTCTGATTGCGATATCTCGCGTGTAATTTAGGGTGGATCCTAAGATCGTGGAGATTGTTAAGAGGAAGAACAATTCTATCGACTAAACTGAACAGGTTGTACCGACGATAAATTAGTTTTTAAATTGACATCATTGAACAATGATAGCTAACATCTCTACTATAAACGAGACTCGTCATTATTTTTATTATTCTTCGCGAATAAAGAAATATTAAAAGTCACTATCGATGTATAAATTATGCAGAGACTACGTAAGATCATTCCCAAATTATTTCTGCACGCTAAATTTAAAAGTGATCGAATATTAGTAAGCGCGACGTTTGGAAAGAGCGGTGATTTCAACGCACAGATGCTTTTTCGAAACCGTGTATTCTACGAGTAAATCAGATAACCAATAACAAAGATTAATACCAATCTAAAGAGAAAAAAGCGATCTACATTAAAGATGAAACGTTTCACTTAAACGACCCGAGAGAACACTGGCCAACGTCAATTAACAAGGTTATTATTCAACTTTCGGTCCATCAATCATGCACCTACCACGACCTCCATAACCAAGTCGCGCCACGAAGACTTATGCTTCCGCAATAGGAATCTAATTTCAAGCTCTGACCGTAAGAACAATATCCTTAATCAATCTCTGCTCCTTCTGAATAATACACGTTCAGTTGATACCAATTAAAAACGTATGCACCGAGCGAACTACTTAAGCTGTACGCGTAAAACGGCACGTGATAATCACGGAACCGGGTATTCTTTTCGTCTTACGGTTCGACATCAAACATGTTTCGTGTTCGAGAAGTCTTTTCTCCTTAACGACACGCTTATCCACGCGAGTAGAACTTATTACACGCTCGTAAAGAGGCTCGCATGTGGGACGAAGTTAGGGTGCTCGCCACCGTGCTTTTTCTCTCATTAGTCAGCCTCGACGGTCGACGACAGCAGGATAATGCACGCCCCAAACGGGACACCCACGTACGGGCTCGGGAAGGATAACGATTTCACGCGTGTTTGCTTTAAAATGAGAAACCAAACACTACGACGGCGGATGTATGTTTCTGGAAGTCATCATTGTTCGATGACCCATCGGAATTGTAAAATCAAGGATAAAAGATTTATTAAAAATTCGAAGGATAGGAACAGGTTTGCTCCTGTTAAAGGAAAGACGTTTGATCGAAATTCAATTTGGTATTGATACCAGATCGGAATCTCCGGGAAGAGAAAAGACATCGATGGAGCATGCTCGTCAAGATCACGTCATTGCACGGAGGTCTTATTAAATCAAAGCAGCCGATTCGAGCGCACGATAAGGGCGTACCTGTCGACAGGTGGATTCGTTTCTAGTTCGAACGTAACAGGAGCGCTCGCTAGTGTTCGATCAAGCGAGATAAGGCGGTTTAAAAAGCGGCGAGGACGTCACGAGTGTCACGCACGCTGCCTCGCTGCTACTTGTAACTATGAGTGATCAACACGAACGATACCACGGACGATGTGATTAACAAGCTCGGGAAGAAATTATGGTTCGATCGTGTCGTCGATAGTTTCAGCCTGTTGGCCAGCATCGCGCTGATATATGAACGCCTGGCCCACGACTTCGATCCGCTACGGGGAACAATGGTCTGTTATATTAAGCTTTAACGAACGGGCAATTATAAGAGAGAAACGATTCAGTCTGTTAGGATGCACAATGAGATAAGAAAATTTGATTATTTTAATTCCTTTTCATCTGTTCGTGAAAGATAAAATAAGAAATTGAAATTTCCTGTTCCATCGGAATATTTTATTCTACTGATAAGAAGGAGATTATGAACGGTATGGTGTAAAAATGACGGAATTAATTTAAACGGGACGATAGCCTCGGAGGAAAGGTCTCTCGACGCTCGTAAAAATGTCCAGGAAACGATTAAATCTGAAACAATAAATCGAACCTGTCGAACTATTACATCAGCAATGAATTATACGATTCGATCGTTTAATTAAAGAGCAACGACAATGTCGATTTTATGACAGGGACTCGAATAAAACTAAAATGTACAAGATAAGAGGCAGTGTGCATGGCGAAGTGTAAAAAATGACGGAGGACAAGATGACGACAGGTTATCGATTATCAAAGAAACCGCTGTCGGTTTTTAGAAATATTGCCGTACTCTAAAAACAAATATTGCTGTATTTTATCGTTACTGCCTCATATATACAGAATTTCCTTTTGAAAAAAATGAAAACAAAATTTATTTTTATGGATCCCTAATTTTTTGCCGCACTAATTTTATAATTACTTGGAAAAAAATCTACGGCAACCGATTCTGTGGAAGAATCGGTTTCCCTAGATGTTCACACGCGATGGGAGAAACTATGCCCCAGATATCTGTTACGGACACGAGGAGAGTCCTGCGAGAATCAAAGAAGCCGCAGGAGCGAGGACGCGTCGTGATCCTTGGCGCGATCCACCATAGGACGGTGGGATCCTTTGCTTTCTAATCATCCTCAAGGTTAAACCCTGCTGAACCTG